TTTTTTTTTTTTTTTTTTTTTTGGGGAGCAAGAAAAAAAAATTGACCTTGGTTACATCCGTTAAAAATCGGAATGACACAGAGAAAGAAGATTACCATGGCCCCTGTGCAAGGATGAAAGGAAAGCATCATTCATGTACCGCAAGGGCATCGCCACACCAGTCCCGACATGTGCAAAATGACAATGAACCTCCCGCTACAACATGGCCAGATGCACCCGCCACATCTTTGCCTTTTCACGTTTCGAGAGTGGTGTGCCGAGGCCCTAAGCCGAGGCTCGGTGATGGACTCAGCAGTCCACATCATCACTTGACACGACTCGAGCGCAGACATGTACAAACTGTGCGACATGAGAGTCGCACGTGCGCCGAGCATATTTGCTCTAATCGTTATCTCAGTTAGGGCCTCGCCACACGAATGTCGAAAATGGCATTTTCGACTTTTTCTCCTCGCCACACAGCATGTCAAAATCTGAGATGCGGATGTCCCGGTTTTCTTTTCTTTTTTTTTCTTTTTTTTTCTTTTTTTTTCTTTTTTTTTGGTTTGGGAAAGTTCAAATTGGAACGATAAAGAGAAGATTAGCATAAAAAAAAAGAAAAAAAGAAATCTGAGATGCCAAAAAAAATCAGGAGTGTAACGAAAAAATTAATCCTTTCTGCATACTCCACCGGGGCATACGGACATGACCGCCCAGTCCTCTTCCCCAACCGCCAATTTCACCCAGACCCATCTGCCGTTTGGGTCCTGATGTGTATCGAGGATCTGAGCATCGAGATCTTTGTGGATAAGTATCGCTACGCCCCCTTTTGAACCGTCCGCCGGGGCCCAATTGATGGGTCCAGTCCACCAGTTGGGCAGGGTTTCTATTTTAGCTTCGTTAAGCTTAGTCTCCTGTATGCAAATGATGTGTGGGTCATCTTTTCTCGCCCAGGATTTGAATCTTTCTCTTTTGAAGCGGTTGGGGGACACCCCGTCCCCAAATCTGGTAATCGCAGGGGACTGGAACACCACCCTTAACCCAGGGTTGGACTCCCCGTCCCCAACCCCTATTCGCCATGACGCACATATGCTAACCATGGGAGCCCAAGGGCTCACGGATATATTCAGAACCATGCACCCGGAGACACAGGGCCACACATGGTATGGGCCCAAACCAGCACCCCAGGTGATCCCGCCCAGTAGGAGACTGGACTTCATCCTCGCAAGGGGAGCGGTGTGGGACAGATGCATCTGGAGTGACCTCATAAATGAGCATCTCTCCGATCACTACCCGCTTGGCATGGAAATATTAGCGTTGGAACAGTTTGAAAGGGTGAGACCCCCTTTCCGGCTAAATACCAGGCTGCTCAAGGACCCTGGCATTCCTGCTTGGGTAAAAGACCAGATGTCCAAATGGCAACTGACGAAAGACCTGTTCTCACATGAGCACTCCTGGGCAGAAACAGGGATCAGCATTGTGTCCACAGCCTTGAATACATTTTCAAGAATGAAAGCAGCAAACAAAACTTGGTTGGAGCTCAAAATCTGCAGGAAAATAGCGGAGGCAGAGCAAAATATGGTGAAAGATGTCTTCTCTGATCATTACTGGTCCAATCAAAGAACGGAGAATATAGCATGGTTGGAAGCGCTGGAAATAAAAAAACAAGAAGACTGGTTGCTATGGTTCAAGATGAGAGGCCTGATTGGTTACGACAGAATGACAAAGGATACATTCAGAGCCCTCATCCTTAGCCAGGCAAAACCGGTTATCCACTAGCTATCCCACCCATTCGTGGTAGCAGAGCAGGTTTCCTCCAAAACAGAAACCATGTGTGAATATGCTATGGCTTATTTCAGGGACATTGTATCAACAAGGAGACCCCAAGACTCGGTGTTGACGGATCATCCATCTCTCACTTTTGGGATCCAATACAAACCACTATACCCCGCTCAGCGAAGACTGCACTGGACGCCCCATTTACAATAACGGAGTTACACAATGCAGCGAGGAAAATGGCAAGCGGAAAATGCCCCGGGGTAGACGGACTACCGGTGGAATTATTTTTGTGCGCGTGGGATGCCTTTGCGCCTTTCCTCTGCCAAATATACAATAGCACCCAATCGTCCGAGTCTCTCCCCAAGGGGTGGCTGAAGGGGGTCATCTCCCTCCTGTACAAAAAAGGAGATAAGAGAGAAGTCAAGAACTACAGACCTATTTCAGAGCTGAATGTAGCCTACAAGATATTAGCTAAAGCGCTGGCCTTAAGATTAGCAAATATCCTGCCAGGGCTAGTAGGGAGGGAACAAGGCGCTTTTGTCAAGGGAAGTTCGACAATATATTGGCTACTGTTCAGGCCCTGGAAATACTGGACTCAAAACAAATGAACATAGCTATTATCCTTTTGGACATGGAGAAAGCTTATGATAAGGTAGGGTGGGCCTTTGTCACCACTACCCTACGGAAGATGGGTTTCAGGAAAGGATTTATCACATGGGTGAGAGCAATGTACGCGGACGCCTCATCAATGGTAATGGTGAACGGTCAACTGTCAAGTTCTTTCCCGCTCACTAGATCTCTAAGGCAAGGGTGTCCTCTTGCCCCTCTTCTCTTTGTCGTCCAACTGTAAGTCCTTATGGCCAACATAAGGCATAACGACGCCATAGTGGGACTGAGTATTCCCCACTCAATCCAATGGAAAGGGGGAGCGCTGGCGGACGACCTCACATTAGCATGCTCAAACACTCTACAGTCAATAACGGCATTGAGATGT